AAAGAATAAACATCATCACACTACGGAGAAGTAGCTTTGTGTCAGCATTTCACCGCTGCTGACTAACGTTACACAGACACTGACGACAGTTCACACTTTAAAGTTGGTGTTGTTCCCAGCCACTTTCAATGGAACAGTTTTCATATTTCCCCTCAAAAACCGTTGGCATTTGAAAGAGCAAGTTCTTGGTGGGGAATGGATGACTCTGCAGTGGCACTGCAGACCATGACAACGAAACACGCCCCCCTGCTGGTATGTGTGCGTGTCCATGTTTATCACTCCGTAGACATTAGACGAAATTATCATACTGTGATAGCTGCGAAGGACTTCTTGCACAAAGAATGTAACATTATATGTCCTTTATTCAGCCTGGACTCCCACAGTGTTTTGTGGTTGGTGTTCTCAAACAATTCTAGACACATCCTTGAATTTCATCTTGGCAACTATATCACAGATAAAGCGACAAACCTTTGCATGGTGAGCTGAAGTGATACAAACACCGGTAATTCTGCGGCTAATAATAGTCCATAAGGCAATAGCTGTATATTTAAACAGATTATTAATGCACTTGTCCTTGTCTGGTTAGCCTCAGTGAGCTAAACGGCTAGCCATGCAAACTTTGCAATGCAAAATGCTTTTTGAGTAGTCTGAGCATGACGTACATAATGTGTGAGAATAATCGCTTTGTCTGGCTATAAACTTGGTGTAGAATTGTGGTGTTCTGCCATTCTTTTAGTTGTTGTTAGCCGTGTAGCCTAACGAGTCAGATAGCGAGATAATGAGTCTTAAAGTAGCTTATTGGTATAGCTTATAAACAGCTTTGTATGCCATTATTTTGGGGTTTGAAAAGGGAAGTACGTAAGGTTCGCAATGATTTCTGGGCATGTTGTGTTGCTGAAGGCATGTTTGCTCGATCCCTCAGCCCTCTCAGGGCTCATCTAACACCCTTCACTTCAGCTAATAAAGTAATGGAACAACGCTTAAGATGGCACTGGGGATCCCCCTGAGGGGAAATGTGGATGAGGGCTTGTTAAAACAGGTACTGTAATGGTCTCCAAATCCCCAAAACTTACATAATGCAGCTCTTTGAGTCTCTGCTGTTGAAGAAATGTGACCACTGAACTAGCATTCACAGTTGGTTCACAACTTACAGTGATGATGCGTAAAGTGTAACATGCTGACGTCACATAGAAAAAGTTGGGAAACTGGTTGGCTCACTTTTACTAAGCAAATTAACAAATTAATTTCAAATTAAGTCTACACATTTCTCTTCTTGTTCTAAAATAGGTAACCAGCTTACATATTTGCAGTAAACTATTACCATGTACAGTGTATTAGTGAGAAAAGCTCTGTTTAACTAAAACTATTGGAGTATAAAATTGAAATCTATTTAAACTTATATCAGCCAACATTACTAGTTATTAGAATTTTTAGCCCCTTAAAGTTCTTATTGGTGTCAGCCATGAAAATTTATGTCAGTTGGGCTCTATTACAAACGCCCAAGCCTGCATAGACTTGTAAAGAAAAGCTTTTTCAAGTAGGTGAACTCATGAACTTTGGAATAAGAACCAAAACCACGTGCTGCCCTCGTGCTTCAGAAAGTTCAGAAGAAACCAGATGAAATGGTGGGGGACTCCCTTTGGGGGCAGGGGTGGAGTGGTAAGAGCAACACATGTGGTATCATCATTTGTATGTGAGAGAGAGAGAGAGAGAGAGAGAGAGAGAGAGAAGGATGACTGAGGGAGTGTGTGTTTCGTCTAGTGTCAGCTAGACAAAGGAACGTTTTTCTGACTAGACATGGAGAGCGGCTTTCTCCATTGTCTGAGCTGGAGACTGTTTTGCAGACTGCACAAAAACAGACAAAACTTGTCTAGCTGGTCTACTGAGACCAAAGCCAAAGTCTCACTTAAAAAGGACCACGAGTTGCTTTTGGTAAATAAAGCATTACATCTCTAACATCTATAATAACTTGAAAATAACTTGAAAATGCCAGCTGCCTTTTACAACGTGTGAACATTTCTTAATGAACAGACTAATAGAAATAATCCAAAATGACCTGAAATAAAATTTCACACTTATGTACATTAAAGGGGAATCTTTAGATTCCGAAATGGTTCACTGTTGAGAAACTTAAACACTCCGGTATATTCACAGTGGTGGTGATAGGAACCAGAGGTCACAATGTCTACAACATAAATATTGCCATTTTATTTACTATCCAAATCAACCAGTGAACCTTCGTGTATCTTCTGTGTTTTTTATGTAATGCTGGTGATGGTAATATAGTGATAAATCTGACAAAATAAGTTTTCTTTGAGGACTACTTTGCCTCACAACAACCTGCATGTACCCCTCCACCATGAAGGGATTTTAAAGTTATGTTTCAAAACCTTCTTAACCTTCACAAAACAATGTCTCATACATCAGATAGTGTATTCATAACCGTTTTATGTAATTGCTTTCTATGAAGGAGCTTTTATAGGCATTAAACTCTTCAGACGTCTGGTTCCTATCACCACCACTTTGACCAATTCTGATCCGGTTACTTTCTCTAGAACAGAGCATTTCACATCAAGCAACCCTGAACGACTTTGTTTACATCTTAACCATTTAATTATGTAGAAATTTTGAAGATTTCATGAAACTACACTTTAAGATGTTTTTTAGCACATCCTATTAGTTACCCTTTCAAAGATGTTGTAAGAGGTTTCCTTATGGCAGTAATGGTAGTAAAACACACTAATATAATGCATAGGATTTAATGTATTGTGTAGGAAAAGTGACTTAGGCTGTGTCTGTGATTGTGTTTCCTTGTCGTGCGGTGCTGTGAGCTCTCTGAATCTGGCCCCAGCGGTTCAGAACATCTGTTTCTCGTTGGGCCAGAATTCCTGGATGGATTGAAGGCGATTTTAGGCTGAGGGAGTCGATCGACACTAAAACCCGAGCAGCGGACCATCACGGAAACTGAATTCACTTTATCTCCTCCTCCTGGAGGCCCTGTTCCCTCGTCTCCAGAACACCCTCAATTTATCCTGCCGAACTGAGCAACCTCTACTCCAGGGGTCATCAATTCCAGTCTTGGAAGACCTTATTTCAGTGCAGTTTGAGGGATCTTCCTGCTCAAACACACCCCAAGACTGGAAATGAGGACAACCCCTGCTCTACTTCAAACTGCCTGTTGATTCTCCTCCAAGGAGAGCGTACTTCCTTCCTCCATCTGTCAGAGAGATAGGAGGTTTCAAACAGGTAGTCTGGAGACTGCGGTGATGTTTCCTAGCAGGCGTTTAAATTATGACTTGTTATTGTCTTTTGGTTCAGTATCATATAGCACAAAAGTCCTTATTCATCAAAAGTTGCGTACAGTCAAATCCGACTGGAAAATGAGTGCACGCAATTTTCAGTTTTATTGTGCATCAGTTTCATCTTTGGTGTATCTGTAGGGTAGGAGTGTGTAAATAGTACTTACTTTACATGCACATTTATATAAACAAATGCTGCAACTATTCCATGTTCCATTTAAAGGCATATTTCACTTTGCTTTGGTTTTATACTACTGACTCCATCCAAAAAAATCAACAATACATAACACAGCCAGTGCAGAAGAATCTCATTCTGGCAATAATCCAGCATATTATTATAAATATGTTAATTAGGAAAATAATCACCACACAATCCATCATTTTTCCATCTTGAAAACTAAAATGTTTTGTTTATTTCACATTTTATCCTTTCTGGTTGACGTAATTTTAAGGCTATAAAGTTTGGTCAGCAGGGGGGAGCAGTGCACTCACTGCTCAACCTCAAACTCCACCAACGAGCACAGCCATCAGCTCATGAGCTGCTGAATGTTGTTTTGTTGGCTCCCTACTGAAACATCTGCATGAATTAGAGCGTGCATCATGTAATTGAGATGAAAATGAGGTGCTGGTGGGCTGGCGCTTGATTTCACGCACAGAAGCTGATTCGTCAGTTCAAATCTCCACTGGTTTCCAACTCTCGTACAGAACTTTAATGAACACAGAGTAGATCATACGTCATTAAAGGCTGTTAAATCTGCGGCCTTTTCATGCAACTTTGATGAACACGGGCCACTGTGCTGAACTCTTGAAATAAACAATGTTGATTTACAAATCAAGAATGCGTTTATAAAGTTTCTAGGGGACAATATTTGTTCCTACTGTAATCATCTGCAACTAGTTAATAATAATTTTCCCATAGTTCTAGTAGTTCTGACTGTATTGTTCCTGCAGTGTTTAAGTCCATCACTAATGGTGTGCTTTTCTTGTGTGTCAGTTGAAAGGGTCCTATAGGGGGAGCCACTTCCCTTGATGGGTGGCTGACAGGTAAAAGGTCACTGTGTCACTTGCTGGACAGCGGTCACTGTTACACAGAAATGACACCGCTGAGGTGCAGCTCATCAAAACAAGGCACAAGCCCAAGAATCTGCTCTCTGAGGAAGAATCCTCTCCTCAAATCTTTTCAGTTAATAGAAACTGAAGAGTCTGGACAGTGTAAACGTAGACTGACTAAGCCGCTTTCTTCAGTGTTTTCTGTTCTTTACATGCCGCTTTGAGAAATAAGCGGAGATGATGGAGAAAGGCATGTTTTTTGTTTTCCAACTGAGGTCCAAGACTAACTGCTAATATTTCTGTCGGAAAATCAGCGAGTTATAAAAATATCCCTGTGAGAAAGAGGGAGGAAAAGCCTATGTAATAGCTCTGCTGCCTCCTAGTGGATGTAATGAAAGGGTAACAGAACTATAAGTGCACAGAGAAAAACTAGTTTAAAGCAGTTCCACTGACCCTCCAAAACTTCTGCATAATTCAATTGTTCAGAGGTTAACAAAGTTATTCAGGGTGGTTTGAAGTAAAATGGATCATTGTAGAGAAAATTACCAACTCAGATTTCTTTACAGTGCTTATAGTTGCTCAGTACTATCCTAAAACAAAGTCCTCATTAGACAGTGTATTTATAACAATTTAATTGAATAACTTCAGCTGTTAATAGCAATAAATGCTTCAGACGTTTGGTTCCCATCATCACCATTCTGAACAATCCTGGTTTGGTAAGTTTCTCTAGAACAGAGCATTTTACATGGCTTTGTTTACATTTTGAAGATTTCATTATGCAGATATTTCCCTTTAAGTGTTAATGTTAAGCTTTTTCCTTTCTTTTTTTTGCAGAACAGTCTGATTGTATTACTCAGGACACAGAAGAAAAACACAACAATGCTAACATTTTACAACTCAACTTTTAATTTTTTTTAAACACGTCCATTGCACATGATAAATTCACTATAAAGTGTATTCAATGCGTGATGCACACACTTAAGATTCATTGACAAGATATCCAAAGCACCCTGTAACTTTGACTTTGTGACTTTGAGCATTTATAAAACAGGTTGATAAATTAATTACTAAATTATATGATCTATGACCCTGCCAACAGCACTGAAAGCACAGCCAGCCTCCCTAAAAGAACACTGTGCTATTTTTGCTGTGAGGCTCATACAATTAAGACTAGTAGAAAAAAAAAAACATTTAGTCCTTTAAAGGTTCTGCCCAAGGAGAAAACTGAGGGAGAAAAAAAGGGAAACCAAGCATTCCACCCATAGCTGCCGTCCAGTCTGTGAGTGCAGTTCCAGAAGAGGGTTAGTGGCGCTGAAACAACAGCATTCTTCTGCCTGTTCTCAGCCCTGTTTAGAAGTGTGCTCTGGCCCTGCTAGGCCTCCGGGACAGTGCAGGAGAGGAAAACTCATTTCTCTCGCTTCAAGCGAGCAGCTGAGCTATTTCTGGCTGGCCGATTATTTTTAGAGTGTTGTCCATGAGTATAAATGCAGGACAGAAGAGGCACGTGGTTGTGCAGGCATAAGAAGGGTTGAGAGAACTTGTTGGCTTGGAAGAACAGTCAGATTCAATGAACCAACGTCCGATCAGATAAATGTACAAAATAGAGAAAATGCAACAGTTACAGTAAATAAATAATACAAACATGTAAAAGAAGGTCAGACAAAACAGGTCCACTCTTTAGCAGAAAGGAGGACAGTGTTTCCCCTAAAAATGTTTAATATTGGGCAATTTTAATTGTTGCATTAAGGGGGCTAAAACAAATAAGGCCTACCTAAAGCTTCACCTAGCTTGCACCTTTTGATCATTTTACACGGATTTGCTTTGACTTATTGACCAAAAAAAACTTTAACGAAGTTTGTACAACAATAACGACCCTCTTAGGGCAACTGCTTCTGCAGTATGATTTCAAGTTGTAATACAGCCCACAGGGATGCAACAATACAACTACATTTTTGTAGTGGTGGGTAATATGACAATATTGTATCGCTATTGTGATCAATTTTATTATCGTGATACACAATATGCTTTTCTGACTATACTGTGGAAATCCTCTTTGCTTAAAAAACACCAAATAACTGCATGGTTTATTAAAAAGAGAACATAACTAGTTTGTTTAACTGGTGTTAGTGCAGTACAGAATGTGAAATGTTCAATACATATTTACTTATATCTGCCAACCTCATAGTATTGTTTGGCACTGGATTAAATTGTATTGTTTGGAACAACACTTTGTTCCAATGTATACAAGTCATATCAATGAATGACAATAAGGACCACTTGACTTGCCTTGTGTTGCAGTGCATTGCACTGTACTGAATTGCACTGCATTGTACTGCATTGTTGTATCATGACTATTTAGCTTGTATCAAACATGTTAGCCTGTGGCTTGCGTTGGGTTGGGGGTAACATATTAGCTTGTGGCTACAGCTTTAAATCAGGACATATAAAGCACAACTTTTGTTTTAAACATAGTAAATTTACTAATATGCAAATAATTTACTGGAAAATGTACTAAATAGAGACACCACTGTATTATATCGAACCAAATTATGAACTTTATATGTCATTATACCCCTATTAGCCCATGTGTTGTTTTGATGGGCCTATTATTAGTTATATTAATTACATTATGTAAATTATAGCTGTAACTGTGTAGTGTTTCTGGTTAGGAATGACAAAAACAAACAAACAAAAAAACAAAATGAAAAGCAAATGGAAAAAAAGCAGCCCACTGACTATTTTCTACTGGCAGGTGCTGTGTTTTTCATACTGTGTAAGGTACCATGAAGTTACATCCTTGTCCCAATTTTCTAGTGACAATCTTAATTTTTCGAAAATTAAACAATAATGTTTTGTATAAGACAGACACAATATCAAGAATTTGACTGAAAAGGAAACATGCTATTTGCCAAACAAGCTCTCAATCCCAGACCACCAGCATTTCTCCCTTTCTTCCTATCTCTTCCATGTTCTTAACACATCTAGTTCAAAAGCAAAAAAACATAACAGCAGTGTTTAAACACTTTTTGATGTTTTGTGTTCAGAAAACTGGGACATTTTTCTATGTAAAAATCATTACGCATTTACAAACTAGGATTTTGCCCAAAAGCTAAATAGGAGCCCATTCATTTTGGGCAACTGTCCTCACTACATATTTACTGGTCTGAGCTCACATGAGTTAGAGTAGCTAGCCTAGTTAGGCCTACACTTGCCCTATTGCTGCTTTCTCAGCCACATCCTTAACAATGCGTTCACATTCAGGCACAAGTGTTTTGTAGTACCCAATTATAACACACTTACTCACAAATACGAGCTAAACTCTTGCATTTCACTGAACTGTTAGCTTGTGTATTTTCTCTGTCTATAACGAGTTCCTGAAAGCTGATTTCGGTATTCGAATACTGGCACCTCGAGCGATTAAGCGAGTACTCAGTTGCACAGAACACAGAAATGTGCCATGTTTCCTTTTCAGTTCAGGGCCACTGGCATAATCACTGCTTTGAAGGCCTAAAAATTCCCACTTAAAAAATCTCAGACATTTAAGAACATCCTCACAGCAAAGAAGCATCATAGAGAGAGAAAAAGAGAGAAACAACTCCTGATTAAGATTTTTGGGACTCAAAGTATCAAGAATAGCTCACAAAATACTTGCACTGCATACTGTGCTATGATGAACTATTTTTTCTATTTAGCAAAGCATTGCTGAGTCATTGTGAATCCTTATACAGAGAAATGCTGTAAGACTGGGGCTCAAGGTCATTTACTAGAGCACATTACATAGCAGGGGTCACAACAAACCATGAAAGCACTGCATTTACAACTGTGACACGATCAAATTTTGGATAAGCATCTTTAAAATATGAACCCCATCTCAAAGAGGCCTGTACTCTTTCAGCCAATGCTGAAATTAGATGGATGAGCTGAACATCTGTCCCGCCGTGTTTACTTTCTCCGGCGTGTCCGCCTAAAACAGATCCCGTTGTCAGGTCTGAGAGGGCGGTGTTTGGAAAGCCTCTCTGAGCTTCCGGATTGTTCCGCTTCAGGCCTGCTGAGTGTTGTGCACACAGCACAGCTGTAGCCATTGCAACTAATGTGCTGCCACTTTTTACTCCATTTCAGAGTCTGAGCAATTCCTGAGTACAGACAGCTGCCAGGTTTACATATCTTTCTCTCTGTTTTCACTACCAAATTGTTTTAACCCGTAGAAGTCGAGTTATTACTGCCATCTTGCTATACTATTCAAGTGTAATAATATAATGATGTATTTAATAATATAGTAAGTTGCGCAAAGAATTATATGTAAGTTCGACTTATTCTGTATTGACAGCTATTTTCTGTTTGTTTTAATATCAAGCAATGACAAAAATGAAAGGTTATGGTTGTTTTCCTTTACACAAAACAAGACTATACAGTTGTGTGCAAAAGTTTGGGCGCCCCGTCAAATTATGTTTTGTTGATTAACAAAACTCTACAGAGAACACACTTCTGCACATTTTACACACAATTACTGTTCTTTTGACATATAGCTTAATACATATTTGCTAAATTTAACATATTGGGGAAAAAAAATCAAACATAAAATGTGGCCTGTGCAGAAGTGTTGGTACATTTCATATTTTCTTTACTTTTCACACCTTATCAATACGTTTTTCCACTAAGCAGAACAAAAAAAGAAATTAGAAACTAAAGTTTATAGAAAATGCCATATTTAAGTTTATTCTCTGTGGAAGATACTAATTAGACTAGTACTACTAACTAGATTAACTAATTTTCACTTCAATCAACAAAAAATGTAATTTGACCGTAAAAATGTAATTTGACCGTAAACTTTGTTCAAACTTTTTCATATTTACATTTACGGCATTTGGCAGACGCTCCCTTCCAGAGTGACTTATAATTTGATCACTTTACACAGGTAGGCGAAGGTAGTGTTAGGAGTCTTGCCCAAGGACTCTTATAGGTATAGTGTAGGGTGCTTAAACCCCAGTCTACAGCGCAAAAGGCAGAGGTGTTACCCACTACACTATATCAACCCACGCACAACAATAACTTTTCCTCAAATTCAAATCATAATAAAATTTTTTGCACTTTTAACAGAGTGAGAGATAAGTACAATAGAATTAAACCATGATTGCTGGTGATAACTGTGACTTCTAAGGGTTAACGTATATTCCGTAAAAACTCCTCTACTCCAGTCTTTACAGTAGTTATAGGGGCATTCCGGCCTGAAAACATTTAATATGTAACTCTGTAGTACCCTGTAAATCCCTCAGCCTCATCAGTCTGATTTCATGTTTTTGTGTCCTTTTTTGCATTTTTGTCCATTACTACAATACCCAGCATGCACTGCACAAATACAACAAATAACCATTGAGAATCCCTCTATGGTTATAAAGAACTCCACAGACGTAGAGGCAAATAAACACAGACATGATATTTGACTTCCTCGCAGGAAGTTAGTTAACTGGCTTCTTTCTGGATTAGTCAGCTTGTGGGAGACAAAAACAATACATTTCAAGCAGCCCCTCCTTAGGTGCTTGTAGTTTTTCAGAAGTTCCTCCCACCTATAAGACACATCATCTGAAGTGGATTTTCCCAGCCTTTAAACTGGAAAACCTCACTCTTGGGACTACTGTGGCACCACAATAGGTGGTGAGAAGGCATGTTTACATCTTTCATTTTGGCCAAAGTGTCCCTTTAATATTACAGCACATTCAAAGACCAAAGTGCTCTGTTAAAAAGTAAGTTTGCTGCATTCAGAGTTTTCATGAGAAATCTGTTCTCTATCTTATCTGTAACTAGGATATCAGGTCCTAATGAATGATATTTAGTTGAGAAATATGATGTAGTTGTTGAGCAGGTGAAGTTGGAGCATTGAAGTCGCACCTGTCCTGAGTGTATGTGTGTGGAGATCTCACTGGTGGCAGAGGTAGCGGATGATACGATTTGGAAGGTTCAGTTTGGGCACAGCCTGCAGTGCTCTGGTGCCCAGCTTTGTCCTCAGGACGATACGGCTCAGCTGCTGCAGAGACAGAGGAGTACCTGCAGAAACACACAATAGCTGAGCAACACAGGTCTACTGTACATCACTGCTGTCGGAACAAAAACTTATATCTCCAAAATGCCAACTTTCCAGGAGAAGAATAAAATATTCTTAATTTTGAGTGGAATTAATGAAAAGTACAAATCGACAAAAACAGAGATACAAGGTTTAGTTCTGACAGCGACAATATGTTTGTGCTGTGTTGCTGCATTTTATTAATTATATGACTTATGTTGACTTTGATACCAAGATGTAAAAAAAAAAATACTTAATCGAACATTAATTATATATATATATATTGCCAGTCCATCGCAGGGCAGACAGACAGACAGACATATACATTCACACACGGACACAATCATTACTAAATTAGTATATGTGTGTGTGTGTGTGTGTGTGTCTCATATTTCGTCACAATGTCCAGTAAAGCTGTTCACTAACACTGACTAGAATTTATCTGGAAAAACAAAACTGTTTTCCAATCTGAATACTAAAAAAAAAACGCAGGGAAGTGAGCATACATAGATGTGTGGACAGCCACTCAAAACACAACTGACTAAATCCGAATAGTTGTGGCCAGCTTTGTGTGCAAAAGAAAATGGAAAATGGAGCTGAAGCTGAGACTACAGTCCAGCAAACATGGCTTAATGTGAGGACCAGGCCCAGAGACCACTGCGTTGTCTGTGGCAGCTGGCCATGGGAGGCGGTGCCGCAGATGGTGTGACAGGAAACAGAAACACGGCGAGCATGCTGGTGTCCATGGTCCATCCTAGGACAAAGGCTATCCCCAAGACATCCACTATTCCTTCTGCTCTTATGTCTTCGACAACAATCGGGCTACCTCAGACTGCAACTGTCTACACAGTAGGAGGTGACCAAAGGAATGTTTCATATTTATTTCCACCTAAAACATGGCTCAAAAGACATCATCTCTGATTTGGTCACTCAGTCAATATCAATGGGCTAATATTAACGTGGTCTGAACACCATATGAACTGGTACAACACCCACTACTAGAGACTTCCATGTAACTCTGCAAAAAATCTCAAAAACACTGGTTCCTAAATGGTTCTTAGCTTGAATACAGGAACATTTAGTAAAATCTATGCAGTGGTATAAACCTTTACATAAGCCCTAAGTTTTAAAGGTGTGCTCCTATTTCATCACTTATCCATTGAAAGGTTCTTTGGGGAGCCAAAAATGGTTCCTATATGCCACTGCTCCAAAAAACACTTCTATGTAAGAGTGTAGGTACCCCTCCATCCTTGTCCACCAATGAAAACATGGTCAGTTGCAACCCTGGAGACCCCTGCATCAACAGAGGCTAAATAAACATGAAATGCAGCTGTAGGGCACACATCTGTACTGCTATGCAGTGCTTAACTGTCCTCAAAACATCTTCAGTATCATTATAAGGATGCATGGCAACCGAATACAGAAATAAAGCAACATTAGATAAAAAAAGACCTTGAAGAAGCTGTTTTGGCTCAGCAGAAATGGCAAACACAAGATAAAAACAGCTCTAAAATCTGGGTGGTTTTGGTCACAAGCTTGAGACTCATCCATTAGAGACTATTGTCTGTTTATTTCCTACAATTCAATTAGCGGTCTCTAAATAAAAATGGCACGTATGTTTAGACAGGTTAATAACAGTATTATCGGAACAAACTGCCTCATCAAGGCAGTTTACATTCTTTAATGCTTTACTGGCATGTGCTGCTTAGATATGCCTGCCACAGTGCCTCACGGGACAGACCTGCAAAACATTCCAGGAGCAGTTCTTCCAGACCGGAGTCTGCTTTCAGATCTGATCTCCATCCTCATCCTGTTTACCGCTGCTCTGATCTAAAATCCCAAACAGCACCAAGGCTGCAGGCCCTCACCACTTATGACAAAGAGTGGGCACCAACTTCCGACTCTCAACTACAGCTCAAAAACAACTTCATTCTTTCCTGGAATTGGGGTCAAAATGACCTGACAGATTTTGCCAGGGTCAGTGACATTTAAAAGCACAATACCATTTGCAAGCGTATTTTAGGACCTGTTTGATCTTGAAGAAATTGCTTTTTCTTGCTGGGAAACACTTACCCCAAAGACTGCCTTTAAAAACACAGATTAGCTGCACTTTACTGACAGAAATGCTTTAAAACGATGCGGCATGAATGTAGGTCAGCTATGTATTTCTCAATATGGTCACTTTGTATGAGGTGTTCATCAGTGATCAAAAGAGTAGTAGCAGGGCACACTGGGACAGTTTTGAATTAATTGCTTTTGCAATGTCATGAAAAAAATGCATTTATTCTACACACACACACATATATACATATAGGCTGAAACATTCTATATCTGTAAAGTCGTGCATGGGCGGGACTAAACTTTTGTAAAATGAACAGGTGTGTGTGTGTGTGTGTGTGTGAGTATATATATATATATATATATATATACACACACACCTGTTCAGCTTACAAAGGTTTAGTCCCGCCCATTCACGACTTTACAGATATAGAATGTTTCAGCCTATATTGCTTTTTGAACGAAGCAGAATTATAGGGCAGCCAAATAGAACAGAGCTCATTTACATATATCAGTCTTAATGGTACACAAAAAAACAGCATGTTGAATTGAAACATCGTAAGTGGACCTCATGGAAAAAAATACAATATGTGTACTTTATGGTATTCAAAAAGATCATAAAGGAAATAACATATTCTATGCTAGTTGTGTCCATTTTTAACTCTCTATATACTCATTATTTGCAGATTTAAAACTGACACAAAAAACTGACAACACAGCAATACTGGAAATTAAGTCAAGCACGCCACTTGGTGGACATTTTTTGAACTGCCTGCAAAGATTTGTTTTGCTGTTTTGAACCACATGACCATCGGTTCCTAATAAGGAAATAATTATAAATAAGGCATGAGGAACATTATGTACCACTTATTAATACATCAATTATAACATTAATAAAGTGATGCTCCATATATTATATTTGCTTGTAACAATTTTTGTTTTACAGCACTTTAGGGCTTGACATGATGTCAACTATAAAAGATACAATGCTGGTTATCACTACCTTTAGTGGAACCCTGAAAATTGCTGGTCACTTAAAGCAATGTGTAATAGTTTATTTTGTACCTTTGCTCCCTGGATTTGTGACGTACTGCGGCTAACCTAGACTGTGGGCTGGTTTCTGAGCAGTGGGTTTTAGTTTTGTTGTTTACTCACTTTCGTAAAGCTGCAGACAGAAAGCAGAAGGTGTTTTAGGTCTGGTGTAGTCGCCAGGCTTTTTCTCATGCTTGTCTTTGGCGTACACGTTTGCTCCAAACTCCACCAGCAGCTCGATCATTTCCATGTTGTTGGCCTTCGCTGCATGGTGCAGTGCTGTCTCATGCAGCCGGGCAGCGTTCACTTTAGCTCCTTATTCAAGCAAAGCAGATCAAAAGAGGGATATTTTTACAAATGTACATGCCTCAAAATATTTCTCTTAGGAAAACAAATGTAGTCATTGGTTAGATTTTTTTTTTAATTAAATTCAGGACAGGTAGCTATGCTCATGATGCAGTCTCAGGTATCGTGTCTGTAATAGTGAACCTTTCTGAAACAAATGTCTTTACATTTAGGGGATAATCTAAACTAATCTAATCCATTCTTTGTATACAATGGGAATTAAGTTGTTTTTTTTTTCTGGAAAGGCAACCAAAAACCTAGTGAATGCACAAATTAGGATTATTTGCAGGTTTCTGGATTAAACATTGCTGTGGACTGAACATGCTTGGCCTGTACATACTAGTGATTTTGAGACTGCATGTGATCTTTTAGCATTAACGAGCTTAAAAGTCAAACATGTGTGGTCTCTTTATACCAGGGGTCACCGATCTAATCCACACAGGGCTGGTGTGGCTGAGGTTTTCATTCCAATCAAGCAGAAACACTCTTGATTCCACTTGTTTAGTTAGTTGGTCTCATTCTTAAAACAACTGATGAGTTATATGAGGTTTTCTCTTATGGAATGAAAACCTGTAGCCACACTGGCCCTTTGCGGATAAGTTTGGTGACCCATGCTCTAAACTGTGCTCTGCACCAATGCACAATGGCCACACCCCCTATCCCATTCCCTCTACTGAGATAGCCAGTGAGAGTGGTGGTCATTAGTAAACACATTCAGCACTTCAAAAATGAGCTGTTCTTTATAAAGGAATAAATGACTGAATTAAGGGCTTATTTGTTTCGTATGCTTCTCATTTTCACTCAGAAGAACAGGAAACTATATTAAAGTGGAAAATATATGTTCTTTAATGCCCTTTTTCTTGCGGCAACAATCTTGTGAATATTTCTTTGGGTTTTCTTTCCATCTTTACCTGCATTGAGTAACACCTTGACACACTCCAGGCGTTGGTTAGTACAGGCTACATGTAGTGGAGTCCCATTGTACAGATCATAGGCTTCCAAACTGGCTCCTTTTGATATCATTAGCTTAACACACTCAGCATTACCTGCACAGCATGAAACAATCATTATGCAATTATTAAGTCACTCTTGCTGTAATTGTGTAGTAATGGTGGGCAATATGCAATAACATGACATTACTATACATGTTATTTTCACAAAACCCTGCATGCATTTCAATATTTAGTTTCTAGGTTATCCGGTGTGAAATTTGAATGTAAAACATGCAACAGCAAATTCAGTGTTTGCTAAAATAAACTGTTTAAGATGTAATAAGGAAAATTCAAACTATTTGGTGTAAAATATTATAATGGAACAATGTGTTGACTTCCATTAGCTACTTGATGCTAAGCAGTTACTATACACTGGCTGTTCTTGTTTACAGGCTCTGTATAACTGATCTAATTTTTGTATTTTTTTTTAAACTAAACATGCAGTTGTTCATTGCTCTAGAAGTACTGACGATACTCATGATACTTATAAACGATATTACGACATTATTTATCATGGTATACAATATCATATTGTCATATTGCCCACCCCTATCATCTACTGCATTTGGAATTCTGGCTTTGTAATATGGTGCATTGCTCTGATCTCTCACCACCCATGCAGGCCTCATGTAGTGGAGAGGTGGTGCGGGAGGTGAGGGCAGGGTTGACTTTTGCACCGTAGTCCAGCAGCAGCTGCACACACTCAAAGCTCCCGACAGAGCACGCCTCACACAGAGGAGTGCTTCCGTCCACGTTCCTTGCGTCCACCTGGAAACCAGCACAAACAGGAAGAAAGAATCCCAAATTGAGTTCATTTCTAATTAGTGGTGTCTGATTAGCATGTAGAGAAATGAATTGACTAAATTATATTAACTCAAAGTCGCCGTTTTACAAAGCTAATCAGAAAAATACCAAGTGCTGGGAGATATATAATCTACTGATATATTAGCGTTGGTGTCGCACCATTTTATAGATATTTTTTGTTAGATAGATATCAAGCATTTAACTGCGAAGCATGTCATTTACAAGGCAATGCATGAGATGGTTTTGAAAGAAAAGCTAACAATACATAGCAAATAAAATAATTAGTCAGTTTATTTTCTGAAAATCTGCTTTCTGTCTGATTAACTTTTACAATACTGTGTAAGGTTCTGTTTGGTGAAGCAAGTGGAGCAGAACAAAAATAATAAAAAAGTTCAATAAAAAAAGGTTATTACAGTTTATAAGTTACTACAGCGGTTCTCAGTCCTGGTTGTACTCCGCACGTTTTCCCTGCTCCCAATATACCTGATGCAAGCGATGAACTAATTAACATGTTCTTCCTAAGGTGAACTGGGTCTGTTAGAGCCAGGGGCGCAGTCAGAACTTTAAAAATGGGGTGGCTAAGTCAGAACTATTGATTTTATTGGTGTAGTAAACTAAAAGAAAAAAAAAATTAATAAAACAGAGGTTAATAACATTGGACCTCATTTACCAACTGTTCTTAAGAGGAAATTTCCTCTTAAAACCCAGTTTTTAATTAGCAATTAGTTAATGTGACAAACATTTATAACTATGTTTTTGTTAACACATCTCATCATTGAATTGGCTAATTCATTTAATGTATCATATTCTGTGCAAGAAATATCATTTTGTTCCCAGTACTATTTCTAACCTCTGATGCACATTTTGAATACTTTTAATTACTTGTGTAACAAAACAAAAATACTGTAGAGAACAGATGCAGAGATAAACCTGTGTATTTCAAATGTGTAAAGCTAGGGTCCCTGCTTCATTAAGCAAAAGAAAAAACAATACTAATGGCAATGTTTCCATCCAGCTCGCCTGTTTGCTCAGTGGGTAAGACTGGACACCCCTGTTCTGACCTGTGCTCCGGCATCCAGCAGCAGCCTCACACACTGTGTCTGTCCCCGGATGGCAGCCTCATGGAGTGGAGTGATGGAGTCTACAGCCACTATGTTCACTGAGGCTCCACTCTGGATCAGACTCTGCAGCTCGGACGCCTGACCATGATAAGCAGCCTTGTGTACCTCTGTCCTCTCAGACCAGAAGCCTATCACACAAAAAAGTAAGTAGTTTCAACAGTTAATTGTAAGTTAGTTATTTCATACAGTAGAAATTAGGACTTGTATTTTGATATAGTGTTGCCAGCTGTTTTTGGTTGTTTGTTCAGGAAAAAAAAAATCCATTCCTGTACACAAAATGTCCAGGAATCCAAGCAATCTCATATGTTAGTATTTCTTATTTAACCGTTTGTATACGAGTCTGTTTAGTTCAGATCCCAGAAAAAAAAGCTTGCTATTCTGGTGCTTGTTTAGATGGTCACCCATCATGGTCGTACTGCATATATACCAGCATTTAAAACACAACAACATGCTGGTTATCCCGGTCTACACTGGTTTTCTATCAGGGATTACTCTCAACATAGACCTCATTTAAATACGATAACTGAGATTAGGTTAGGTCAGGTTAGCCAGCATCTATCTACCTTGAATTTGTGTCATGAGTTTGTCTACCTGTCAGAGTCCAGGATTTTTTTTCAAAGCTGATGGCAATATCGATTTTCCTCATATGTACATGTGCACATATACATACATACATACATATATATTAATGCAAATATATATATATATATATATATATATATATATATATATTGTGTTTGTGTGTATACATGCAAACACACTACTGTTCAAAAGTCTGGAGTAGGTTTTCATATAAAATCCATTTGCTGAAGATGCATGTGCAACATTATGATGTTAATATGCCTCTACTTTACATTTCCACAGGGTGTATATTGAAATATCAAAATGAGTTCAAGGTTAAATATATAGTCATCGCCAGACGGTACATCGAGTTGATATACATCAAGCTGTGAAACTAGAAACATACTGAATGGTCACGTTAAGACACTTTTCGGATAAAGGATATTTTACTAATCTATCCTGTTCCTGCTTTTCTGTATAAGCAGCACATGCCGGTCTATCATACATGGCGCTGCGCTGCTGCCGTGAACGCGCTTTTAGACTTACCGATATCACCGAAGAAATACGGCATCGCTGTTTCCACCTCCATCTTTCAGCTTAGGGAAATAAATATGCACTATACTAAATGAGTCTTTTTAATGAAACGATTTGAACACCACACAAACATGCCGTGTTTACAAATGCGGCAAGTGTGTCACGTGACCGCTCCTGCTTCAGGGACACAACCGCATTATGGGAGTTGTAGTGCAGTTATGCCACTATTACATGGAGCCGAAAGAAAAATGGTATTTTTATTACAACAACAGCAACAAAACCATTCTTTGCACCGTATTGTAAGACACTTAGCAGCTGGTGACAATATTGTCTCATAGAATCATTCCAATCCAGTGTTTCTCTGACCTTTACTGGAAGTTTATCTTGATGTTTAGCTTTTTCCACAGAAGGCTCTGATTTTCTCTGAAAAGGACAGGTGTGGCTGCAGGTTTTCATTTGAACCAAGCAGGAGAACAGTTTACATAACTATTCAGCTGTTTGAAGATTCAGACCAACTAATTAAACAAGAGGAACCAGATGCACTTCTGCTTGATTGGAATGAAAACCTGTAGCCACACTGGCCCTTTGCGGGAAAAACTGCACACCCTTGATCCATAACAAGAAAATAAGACACATAAAACAGTTCATTTTTATTATTTGTAGCAGAGGTAGTTGATAATGCGCTGTGATATGTCCAGTTTAGTCACAACCTGCAGTGCTCTGGTGCCCAGCACTGTTCTCAATGCAATACGGCTCAGCTGCTGCAGAGACAGAGGAGTACCTGAGGGAACACACACACAACAGCTGAGTAAAACTGAGCCTTTATATGTACAAATAATTGCAAAAAAACAGACAAGTCAGAAATTTAATAATCAGCCAGTGCTCTCACTCTCGTAGTACTGTAGACAGATGTGTGATGGACAGCCAGGAGTGGTATAGTCTATGGGTTTGTGTCCAAGGTTATCTGTAACATTAACGTGTCCCCCAAACTCCACCAGCAGCTCGATCAGGTCGGGACGCCCCACTTTTGCTGCATGATGGAGGGCCGTCTCATGGAACTTTATGGCGTTCACCTTGGCACCTTTAAGAATAACACTTTTCTTTCATTTAAACAAAATAAAAAACATGTTTGCGATAATTTAAAAGTGACTTCAGCTTAGTATCATTAGGACTTTTATTAGTGGATATTATGTACAGTCATTGGCAAAGGTTTGAAGACTCCCAGTCAAAATGTTTTGTTGATTTGTTGAGTTGTAAATATGGCATTTGTATGCAGATTTTACTGCACAATTTATACTTATTTGTTTTGTTTAACACATTGGGAAAAATAAAATATAAATATACAGTGTGCCATAACCTTTGCACAGGCCACATTATATGCTTTTTTCCTCAATAACTTCCAATTCAGCAAATGAACGGTAATTATGCATTAAAATGTGCAGAAGTGTGTTCTCTGTGGAGGGTGTGGTAACATATTTTTACTTAGAAAATCAACAAAATATGTAATTTGACCAAAACGTTTGTATATGCCTGCACATACCAGCGTTCTTAAATACTCAGTGTTCTTAAATAATCTTCAGTTCCATCATAAGACGATATAATGTGATATGAATGTTTTATTATTGATGATTACTAAATCAGTAGCTGAATCAGTGGCTTCCTACTCACCTGCATTGAGCAGCAGCAGGGCGCAGTCCAGATGTGCTTTAGCACAAGCTGCATGCAGCGGCGTCCCAAAGTAAATGTCAAAGGCCTCCAGCAGGGCTCCCTTCGATATCATCAGCTTCACACACTCTGGATTACCTGCACCAAAAATGCTCAGTGATGCTGATGAAGTGAAGATATCCACATTAAGGGTGGAGGATTACAATGCTTTTTAAGATGCACAACAAGCATCACAATGTCCAGAAAAGACAAAATGTGCCAGTTAAACAGTAGTGCCATGATTATAAAAAGGCAAGAGCGTTATGTATAGGCCAGTTTTTGCTCTGAACATGCAACTTTGCAATTGGACAATTTACTATAATATTTTTTGGCTATTTTATACAAGCAACGTGGATGCATTCACTCTGTCTTTGAATGCTGAACCATATACCAAAATGTCATAGCATAAATATACATCACTTATTGTCAATAAATAGTCACTTGCCCCTTACTTTCGTTGTAGCATTTTATTTGATCCTGAATGAACTTAAAATGCCAGTCTGGCAAAATAAATAGCAAATAATATTATTTATATCGTGTCTGTGGCTAAGAGAACGTGCTGGAAATGTTTGACGTGTTCACTTAAGCCCACAGGGAAAAAAAGGCTCATAAAATCAGTCCAAAAAAGAAAGAAAAACAACTATTTTGGCCATAAAGAAACCAAAATCTGCCACAAAAATTAAAATAAATGATTTGTACACCTCTGCTCAAGTGATCTTTATCAAATGAATCATTTGCAAAAATCTATACAAAATCAATTGGTAAAATAAATGAATAAAACAAAACACTGGTTGATGCTGTTGTTTACAGGCTCTCTACGATTGTTATGTCAACAGTTTTAATGATGTGCAGAGTTGTAGAGCATTCCAGAAGTACTCACAATACACAATAGACTCAGAAAAGTGTGTCATAACATAATTTATCATGATAACAATATTGCCCACCCTGGGGTGTTTCACCCATAATGGCCACCGTGGCCACCATACCACAAAAGAAAAAATATCAATATTGAAATCTGAATATGAACATTACTATTTTTCTACTAAATACATTTTTTTAATTTGATACATATCTGTAAAACTGACCAGGGAGTCAAAAAATTCCACTTTATAAATCATATCTTCAAAGGAGTTTTGTATTGTATGCTATAGTATTATAACGTTACCGGTCTGGTTTATAAGTTCATAACTGCTGGGTGTTTTTGATTATAGTTGTTATGACCTTTTAACTCGGCATATATTGACACATCGTTTTTTTAGGCTTCCAGAGATTTCATATATTTACTGTTATTTATTGAATGCTGTGCTGATTGTGTTTTTAATCAGACTGGTTGTGATGAAGTTCAGCTGGTCTTGTGTTGTTTTCTCTAGGCTGATCTACTTGTTGCTAATAATATGCGCTGTCCTGCTATTTATGTCAGGTGTTTTTCGGTCGTCATGTTCATGTACTTGCCTTGTAACACACTGTGAAGACAGTTTAACAGGCTGAAGGTTTTGTGTACATCATTAGAATGCAAGAACATATGGAAGCAATTAAGATTATGATATGGGGAACATCTGTTTTAACAGCTAGGCTGTGGGTGCTCACAGGCAAAAGAGCAGCAGGGGTGCTAAGAAAGAGTGGAACTTAGCATCAATGACGCAGTGTAAATAAGACAAGGCAGTATAAGACTGGGCCACTGCATAAGGGTGATGAATAATGGCACCGCCCCCTCACCACACACCACCACATCACGCCACTGTTCGCACCCCTAATCCACATATTATTATTGCTCCATAACTGTCCAATATATAAATTAGCTTGCTAGTGGGTTTGTACTGTCACTGCCTATTCTCCACTCTTTTGTTTGTACTATCACTGCCTATTCTCCCGGTCTCACCTCGTATGCAGGCCTCGTGGAGTGGGGAGGCTGTGAGGGCAGTGAGGGAGGGGTTGACCGAAGCTCCATGATCCAGAAGCAGCCTCACACACTCCACACTACCCGCTGCACAAGCATAGCAGAGCGGGGTGCTGCCATGAATGTTCCGCACATCCACCTTAAATACAACAGACACAAGAGCAGAGCCTGATCGTGTGGCCTAAAATCATAATCAGGTAAAAGTATTGTTACTTTAGTGAAGTAATGGCTCAAGTAGAACTAAGCAGTAAGCAGCCGTGCCAATATTCAGTAATACACTGTGATATTGTACACCCAGTTTTGTTACTGTGTAGACACTCTGAAACATTGTCACTGCACTTCAGTTAAACAAGCTGCAGTTTCACCAGAGACACGATGTTCATTAAGGCTGTTGAAATGCCCCAAAATGTAGAGTCACCAATACATTACCACTATTAATAATATATAGAGAACATTACATGTATATTTGCCTTATACAAGCAGTGATTTTGTTTTTAGAATATTGTAGAATATTGAAATAATATTGTAAAACTGTGAGTTACAGAGTTCACAACTATCACTATCAACTTTTAATCACTCTCTTGATGACTGTAACACATTTTAAAGCATGTAAACAACTAGCCAGGGTAAAGTAAGCCCCCCGCATGGCAAGGCTTGTTTTAACACAGTGTTTCAATTAAGTCTCCTAAATAAACAATGAGAAAAGTCCATAAAACATAACCTGCTGATATTTGATGTTCTACTTTGAGGTAAAAATGAATTTACCACATTTGACAGTGTCTATTTTTGCAAATGATGTTTATTTTGATGACTATATTTTTTGCATTTAAGTTTAAAGCTTGTCTGGTTCAAACAACACAGGACTGTACTGAATGAATTGTGTTGTATGTCGAATTACCAGACTCTTTAGCCACTTTTACAGCCAGCCCCTCAGTCTCTTATCAACCCCGTCTAAGGGGGTAGACTGTAACTTTTGCACTCGCTGCTCTTTCAGCTGAATTGTACATAAACAGCAGGTGCTGGGCAAAAAGAGTGTTTTCATTAGTAGCACAGATATGAAAGCCTGCTTCTTTCACTAGAAAAACATATGTAGCTATTTAGTAAGTCATAATAATGAGAAGGTTTCCCATGATTATGACTTAGTACCTCATGTTCATGACATAGTATTTCATAATTTTGACCTGCTATCTCAAAATTATGACTTAGCATCCCAATTCTGACTTAGTGTCTCATAATTATGAGATTCTAGCATGTCATAATAATCACTATGACTTAGCATTTCATAATTACGATTTAACATCCCATAATTAGAGACTCTCAATGTCAGTTTTGACTTTGCACTTAATACTTACGACCTAATATCTCATAGTTATGACTTTACATCCCATATTCATAGACTATGTCAATTATGACTTAGCATTTCATAATCACGACTTGCTTTCTCATAATTATGACTTAGCATTCCATAATATGACTTAGTATCCCATAATAATGATTCAGCATCTCATAATAATAAGAGATCTTCTCATTATTGTGAGACACTGTCATTATTACGATATATGTAGCCATAATTATGCGAAATTCTCATTATTATGAGACACTGATCACTGAGTCATGATTATGACATACTACACACGGTCTTTTTAATTGGGACGTGCAAGTTGCTTATATTAATTAAAAAATAAAAAAAATAAAAAAACAGTATTCTTTCTCAAATACCTTTCACATTATTTAGTAAAATCCACGCTGATCGAGGTACTGGACAGCTGAAGGACTTTACCTGCGCTCCGGCGTCCAGCAGCATGCGCACACACTGCGGATGGCCCTGAATGCAGGCGTCGTGCAGAGGAGTGATGTTGTCCACCGTCACTGTGTTGACCGATGCGCCGCTATCCAGCAGCTGCCTGAGCTGCAGGGCTCGGCCTAAAGAAGCGGCCTCATGAACGGGAGTCCTGTCCGCCCAGAACCCTGCAGCACAGTTTCACCGCATCAGCCACAGCAGAGGAGAATCGGCGTGATGCGCACAGATAAACACAGGACTAACAGGGCTGCGCTCAGTATAGCAGGAGAAATTAGCAGCTCGGCGTTCTTACTTTCTCATTACTTACTTTACCCAGTGCAACCCAACATACGGGCTAAACACTTCACATACAATGTTTAATGGAAGCCAGTGCAGAACGGAACTCCTGTATCTCGACTGTAGGTCATTTACAACTTGAGGAAAGCTCGACTTACCGATATCGCCATAAAATGTCTGTCTGGCTGCAGTTAAATCCATATTTGGTTCAGTGCAGCATTGCCACACACACGGTGGATGTTACTCCACACAGGCGGTTGTGTTTTTGCGCAAGTAAACTTTATTTTTAGATGAAGATTCATATGATCCATAAAAGCGGCACTAGCTCTCGGTCAGGCGGAGTACAGGAATTCTGGGCAATGTAGTTCCTTTCAATTGACATGCGCGTCTTGCTTTGAACCATAGAATACAGTCTATACTTAATGAGTAATTTCACTTTTCATGACTACAGTATAGACGATTAAATTTTAGTTATAGTCCATGGGAACAAGATACGCCCTCTTGTGGTCATTAATATGTTAAAGGGAAATTCCACCGATTTTCTAAATTTCTATATAATTAGATGGTTGATATGTAAACAAAGTCATTCAGAGTGGTTTGATGTGAAATGCTCTGTTCATCAGGTCATTATTTTTCAGCTCATTCATGGAGCACAAAATATGAATATGCTGTCTGATACATTGTTTTACAGCAGTTTTGAGAAGTGTTTTCCCTACAAAATATACTTAAAATATACTATATTAATATACTATACTAAATATATATACTTTTCAAACCATTCATGCTTAAGAGGCACAGGACATTGTTTGTGTGAGGAAAAACAATCCCCCAAAAAAACTTATTTTTCAGATTTACCACTATTTTACCATCTACATATTAAAACCTGGAAGGGTTTACATCTCTACCACTAAACTAAGGCTTTTTGAGAAATCTGTGGAATTTTCATTTTATGTAAAATGCTTGAACACTCAAACTTTGTCTTGGGCGGGTAAGAAAGACAAAACAGTGTACAAATAAAGAAGGTAACAAGGTTTTAGCTCAAGTAAAAAACTGTATTTAAAACTGTTTTATAACATTACACTATAGGCAAGTTTCCGCAGACAGGGATTAAGCCTAGTCCTGGATAAAACAGCATGCTGAATGGAGATTCCCCAGTGAATAGGAAACATGGCCCTAATACTAAGCTTAATGCCCATCCAGGAAACTGACCCCCTATTTTGTTACTAAACACTTTAAAGTACAGATTTATGAGGAGAACAATGTGAAAAGTTGTATAGTATAAATATAGATGCTAATTACGCATGCGGGGGTGGGGGTGGACAATGCCACAATTTGCCCTCCTAATATTAACCCATGTTGTCACCCATGAGTATAAGTTTTAAGTCAGTGAATGAGGGGGTGGGGTTATGGTAACTTTCTGGTGGGCCAAATCAAAAGGCCTCTCCAGCCAAGTTTGGGCACTCATGTTTTTTTTTTTTTAAACCTCATGATCAGAAATTGCCCTGGGAAAAAAAAAAAAACCTAATTAAAAAGGCCACAAATTCCGGTTGTGCAGCAGGTATCCAGAAAATGAACTGTTATCTTCCAAAACCCTTTTGTTAAATTTGAGGATTTTTACCAGTTTGATGAATTGTCTATTCACAAGGAAAGCTCAAAACACAATTTCACAAGTTAACATTTTTACTTCGCAGTACAGAAATCATTTGAGCCCCATTTGCTCAGCACAGTTATTCCGTTGTTTAAAACACTGATGACATTTTGCACAGGGCCCCAGTCATGTCAATACTGCAGTAGACATTTGGTCCTTTCTAACACAACAGAGATATAAAGGAGAACTAGGCCACTTTTCTCATCTGCTTTTTTAAGAGCTCCTCTCTCTGCAACAAAAACAGAGAGACAGTTCCTCTAAAGCACAGTGTTCAAGCAGCTCTCGCAGACTTACACAGTTAAGTAGCTTTCTCGTTGACATGATGACCTCTGACCCTTGGCCTGAGAATCACATACTGCCCCTCGCAACAGAGATGTAAAGGCAATAGCTGGAAAAGCCCCAAGCGTCCCATCCTACCAATTTACAGCCGCACAATTTACAGCCAACAGGTCAGTTGTGTCAAATTAATGCAGTTTCCTTATTTATATTTAGCAAAATGTGTATATAATCTGAGGCTGCATAAGTAGTACTTGAAGGAAAGGAAGATTATATACATTTTGTGTGCTTGATACTTCCCTTACATTTGCAAAGCAAGGCTTGGACATACATTGTTAGCTACAGTCCAGTAACTAGTTGAAGCACCAATCTGTAGGAAAATCCAATGGATTAACTCTTTTCATCAAAGTTGGTAACTGCGGCTTCATTAAAATGAATGGATTTCTTTTGCAAACCTTGTCCGCTCAGTTTTGCGCTCCTAGACACTTCTGCTTGAGAGGCCATCTTTATTTGAGTTTTTGCACATAATTATAAAAAAATACTTCTGCTTCTTTGTAAAGTACTGTCTGTTACCTGTGCCTTTATATCAATTGCAAAAATCTGATCATTTGGCATCTTTGGACTGAACGTCCTCCCTGTCTGAGCAGGGTGACAACATGATGACACGATGGCAACCGGATATAGGACGTCGACCAACAATCAGTGCAATGTCTCATAACCTGATTATACAAAGCAGACCGCCAGACCCTTCTCCCCCCTTTAAATGCTAAATTTGTAACTGTATACATGAAATTCCTTTATGGGCATAAACATATACTTGAAATCATCAGCTAGCCCATTTCGGTTACCTTTTTTTCTTCTTTTTTCATATTTTCTTTTTTTTCTTTAATATTACCATTCGCTGAATATCGGATATTCAACAGTGCCTTGAGCTAAGTTACTGATCGGCCCCGTCGCCGAAGATGTCGTTCTTCTTGCGCTCCATCTCGGCAAAGTCAAAGTCTGTGCCCGTCATGCGCTTGTAGATGTCTTTGATGTCATCACAGGTTGTCTCGAAGTGGGTTGTGGCATCGTAGGAGCGGGAGACGAAGACCTGAACCCAAAAACAAAAAGGGAGGTTCACACTTACTGCATTCACTCTTAAAGCTAGCTTGTTCAAGGTTGTTATTCAACTGAAAGAGGCAGCATATTGCTTTTGGAAACTATAATATACCAATAATTGCACAGTAACGTTACATGGGAACCAGGTAACTGTGTGGCCAGAATGCTAGCTATCAAGCTGAAAAACTGATTTAAAACTGGCACAAAATTTAGAGAATAACAACTATTTTCTATGCTGCAATTTTGGTAGCCAAAACTGGATGCAGTTCTATGCTCAGTAAAAGCATGTGGAATGTAAATGTCTTACTTTACAAGCATGCATAAGCCTCTGTTACGAACTAACCTGGCTTTCAGCTCCTAGGTCAGTTGGAGCATACAGATCACTGATGCTCACAAACCTGTGAAAGATCAAAGATATAACAGATATCAACAGGGAGCATCATGTTATGCATTTTTTTCTCAATACAGTAATCACATTTTAAAACAAATCCATACACACATATGCAGAACACATACTTCTGCTCAATGGGCTCCAGCAGATCCAAAGCTGGTTTAATCTCTTTCTCAGGGTCATTAGTTTCCACAGTGGTGCTGGCGATGGCAATGTATTTACCCTGGGCTGCCACATTGTGTGCGTATGAGATCATACACACGTAGATATCTACAACAAAACATAAAAAAATATATATTAATCAAAACCATCATTATTTGTTTTGTGCTGTCTGCATAGCGGGACATGGGGAGCTCCACAAATAATGCAGAATGTTGAATCTAAATAACGATGTCTTGCACAGTAATGTCCCTGTGTGCCTCACCATGCTTCCTGTTGACCTGGTTCTGAGGGATGATGATCTGGCAGGAGTTGGAGTCTGAAGTGTTCTTGATAGGGTGGCTTAAAATGCAGATGACTCTGATCACCTTGCCCACGACCTTGGCACGATCTGTGACATAGCTGGGGTCGCAAATCAGCTGCTTACAGCGAGCAATCTGAGCACAAAAAAAAAACAAACAAACAAAAAAAACAAACCACATCGTTTTAGCACGATAACAGCAACAACAAGGAGATATTGCTCTTCAGTAAACTCCAATTTGTTAACTATCATCTGGATAGATGTGTTGGTGCTGTTAGTGCTACGATGTTATGTTAGTATATTCCTAGATGTTCGAGAACCCGAGAGGCTATTAGCCATATTAAATGATCAAAACTATTTTGAGAAGGGGACGAAAACAAAAACCTCACCTCTCCCTCAGATTTCACACCCACTACTTTGCCGTTCTCAATGATGATCTCCTCAATTGGCTTGTTCAGCATGTATGTTCCTCCATAGATGGCACTTAATCTGTAAACAAAGAATGCAGCAAGTTGATGCCCTCTAGTGCTGTACAACGGCAGTACACAATGACAAAATTCAAAGGAGTACTTTAAAAAGATGTACAACAAAGACATTGTGTAAGAGGTAGAGAAAATTCTGACCTGGCAAAGCCCTGGGGAAGTTCTCCAAGACCATACAGGGGGTAAAGATAGGGGCTCTTCCCATATCTTGCCAAGGACTCACTGTACAACTTAATCCTGTTTATTGTCTCTATGCAGGGCTGATCCAGATAACTAGAGTGGGGGTGGGGTGGAAAGAGGGGAAGCATGAGAGAGTGAAAATGCAGCACACACACTATTTAACATCAGTGGAGAACATCTAACATTGTGTTTACTAGCCTCCATGCTGAGAAAGTACTAAGGAAACTCACTCGTCTGTGCGGTAGAGGGCAATGGCGTGGCCTGTGAAGTCAATAACATCTTGGCCCAAGTCAAACTTCTTGTAAACCTCACGCATGGTGGTCTTATTGGGGTCTACACCTTCCATGGTTTTGGGGTCATTCTCATCAAAGTTGGCAACGAAAACCAGAAACTTCCGGAACCGTCTCTTCTCAAACAGCCCCATTAGGCCTGGAGGAGCAAGAAAAACCTTTAGACTGAAACACACGACTCATGCTGTACCTGTGTCAGTAAAGGCCTTTGTGAAACTGTATGTCACATCAGAGCTCAACACCTTTAAGGAACTTACTTTCTGTTTGGGAGAGGAACTACACTGCACTTTCCAGCTGAAACAATAATCTGATTATAACCACACTACCATGCGCCGTTTTTTAAAAAGGGAAGTAATACCAAAAACAAACCAAGCAGAAATCCGACCGGCCTAGTGACAACATCTTTTTGAATGTGGAGAAATCGCTGACCCAAACCATATCAAATCCCTAATCATCTGAGAGTAGATGTTCTGCCAGGTATTTTTACCATTGTGACAGAAGATGTTGGGAATATACAATGACAGGCAGGAGGGGGTTCAGGACTGACCAATTTCAAACTTCAAAATCCACTTACTGGAAGCCAGAGCCTCAGTCTCAGTGGAGGGCACTTTGTAGATGCCTCCCTTTTTGTAGACAAAGCTGCCCTCAATCACTTTGAAGTCCAGATAACGTGTCACCTGTGTGATCAGCAGCATACGCACCAGCTGACCTAAACACACAATCAGACAGACGTAAGAGAAACATTTCCATTGCATTCTACACACAGAAAAGAACACAATTATATACAACACAGTCCACTTTTCATTTAAGACTGGGATATTAGTGTGACCCTCTTTTCAAGGCATGAATGACTAGCTGTCAGAAGTGTTATATCATAATTGATTGCTAGGCAACAGAATCAGTTGAGCTGTGGAATCCGGCAACATTTGGCTCAGCGTTTTCCAGAATGCGATTTTTTTCCCTGTTGACTGCTAACTGTTGGAAATGTACATCAAGAAGTGGTCGGTTCTCACCGTTGGCCATGAGGAATTTGGGGATGAGGTCCACGTTCCAGTCACGGCCCTTCCCCATCGACTCAGGAGGGCTGCCAGGCAGGCTAAAACGCTTGTAAAGCTGGGAGAAGAAAGAAGGCATTTCATATACAACAAGGTTAAAAACCCAGATCCGACATTCAAGTCAAAATATAATGAATGAAACAGTCAGATTATCATATTGTAATTTATGTGACCATTTATTTGTAGCCATGTTAGTATTTTTGACTACACTATACTTTCAGTTGTGTGGAAATGGTTAAAAGGCCTTACATCCTCCAGAGGGGTGATGGAGGCACTCTCTCCTCCATAGTAGGAGTTCCTGTCCATATGCAGGACCTTCTTCCCCTTTACAGACATGATCCCGGACAGGATGCATTCCTGTAGGAAACAAACAGAAAGCAGAGCATGCTCACTTAGACATCCTTTCACACATATACTGCAGGATGCTTCTGTGAAAGCACTTATTCTGTAGGGTTACAAATGAAAAATGTGAGCTTGCTGTGTGAAAAATCAATGTATGCGAGCTTCACATGCCTCTATGTGATCTCAGATGAAATAAAGAAACCATCATGGCAACGCCATGGACACCTTCATTCTGCTGCATATGCACACACCAGTCTCTTTGATTTAAAGAGCACACATGCACTG